GTTTTCAAGTGTCGTCCTGCCGTTGTTTTTCCAGCGTCGTCTTGCCGTTGTTTTTCCAGCGTCGTCCTGCCGTTGCTTTTCCAGCTTCGTCCTGCCGTTGTGCCGTTGTTTTTCCAGCGTCGTCCTGCCGTTGCTTTTCCAGCTTCGTCCTGCCGTTGTGCCGTTGTTTTTCCAGCGTCGTCCTGCCGTTGCTTAATTTCTGATATTCTCAGCGTATTGAGTATATCCTGATACGGATCCTCTTCCTCTTAAGTAAATAAACAAGTTTATTTAGTTACAGGTACACAAAAATACATTTGTGTGGCTGAGTGGACTACAGCGCTGCCTGGGAATCTTGACCATCCCCAGTAGTAGTTTCGAATCCTGCAGACTGCGATCTTTCTTTGTATATATTAGTATGTGTATTACATATATTAAAGAGTTTGTGAATGTGTATAGCGTTTATGTACAGAGACACTTCTCTGTGACCTGTGCTGCGTTATATTCACTGACTTACGAATAAATTAGAGTTCACATCTGAGAGGTAGCGCTACATTAGTCACGAAACTGTTATAATACAAGTTTAGATGATGTTGTTGGTAGTCAACAACATGATGGTGTGGCCTCGTGTTCTCCATGTTGTTGGTAGTCAACACCACGATGGTGTGGCCTCGTGTTCTCCATGTTGTTGGTAATCAACACCACGATGGTGTGGCCTCGTGTTCTCCATGTTGTTGGTAGTCAACACCATGATGGTGTGGCCTCGTGTTCTCCATGTTGTTGGAAGTCAACACCATGATGGTGTGGCCTCGTGTTCTCACATGTGTTGGAAGTCAACACCACGATGGTGTGGCCTCGTGTTCTCCATGTTGTTGGAAGTCAACACCATGATGGTGTGGCCTCGTGTTCTCCATGTTGTTGGTAGTCAACACCATGATGGTGTGGCCTCGTGTTCTCCATGTTGTTGGAAGTCAACACCACGATGGTGTGGCCTCGTGCTCTCCATGTTGTTGGAAGTCAACACCATGATGGTGTGGCCTCGTGTTCTCCATGTTGTTGGAAGTCAACACCATGATGGTGTGGCCTCGTGTTCTCCATGTTGTTGGTAATCAACACCACGATGGTGTGGCCTCGTGTTCTCCATGTTGTTGGAAGTTGTTGCGACCCCTGAATAGGTCACAATGTATATAATGTATATTACCTTTTCATATAATTTTATATTGCTTATATTTGCGATAATAGCTAAATCGTAAATATATTGCTTTATATTATTATTTGACTTAGTTATATTTATTAGGTAGGATGTAACATTTATGTATATTATTCAGTTTACCTGGAGTTTACCTGGAGAGAGTTCCGGGGGTCAACGCCCCCGCGGCCCGGTCTGAGACCAGGCCTCCTGGTGGATCAGAGCCTGATCAACCAGGCTGTTGCTGCTGGCTGCACCCAAACCAACATACGAGCCACAGCCCGGCTGATCCGGAACTGACTTTAGGTGCTTGTCCAGTGCCAGCTTGAAGACTGCCAGGGGTCTGTTGGTAATCCCCCTTATGTGTGCTGGGAGGCAGTTGAACAGTCTCGGGCCCCTGACACTTATTGTATGGTCTCTTAACGTGCTAGTGACACCCCTGCTTTTCATTGGGGGATGGTGCATCGTCTGCCAAGTCTTTTGCTTTCGGTAGTGGGTGATTTTCGTGTGCAAGTTCGGTACTAGTCCCTCTAGGATTTTCCAGGTGTATATAATCATGTATCTCTCCCTCCTGCGTTCCAGGGAATACAGGTTTAGGAACCTCAAGCGCTCCCAATAATTGAGGTGTTTTAATCTCCGTTATGCGCGCCGTGAAAGTTCTCTGTACATTTTCTAGGTCGGCAATTTCACCTGCCTTGAAAGGTGCTGTTAGTGTGCAGCAATATTCCAGCCTAGATAGAACAAGTGACCTGAAGAGTGTCATCATGGGCTTGGCCTCCCTAGTTTTGAAGGTTCTCATTATCCATCCTGTCATTTTTCTAGCAGATGCGATTGATACAATGTTATGGTCCTTGAAGGTGAGATCCTCCGACATGATCACTCCCAGGTCTTTGACGTTGGTGTTTCGCTCTATTTTGTGGCCAGAATTTGTTTTGTACTCTGATGAAGATTTAATTTCCTCATGTTTACCATATCTGAGTGCTCAGTGCTCATAGTTCAAGTCTTGATTGTCTAACTACTGTAATTATCGCTCGTTGCTCGTTTTCCTGCCTGCTTCTCGGTGTTGCTGGGCAGCAACTGTCCACGGAGCAGTCATGTGATACAGGGGAGGTGTTCACACCTCGCCTGAAGTAGTCAGTCTGGGCTAGACTCTCGGTGGTTGGACGTATTCCTGACAAGACGTGCCTAACTCTCCCTTATTGGACCTTGTTGGAAGATTGTCTCTGTCGCTTTCTTGTTGTTGGTTCTGTAGAACTCTGTTCACAGAACATTGTCTAGACTTAGTGATTTTCGACGTTGTACTGAGGTTGTGTGTCACATAGACACTCTGAGTAACTCAGGTCCTGAGCTGTAGCTTCTGACCTAACTTGTACTGGTATCTGTGTACTGTCACAGTCAGGAATTTTCTTATGCTGAACTTAGATTCAGTAGTATGGGAGTTTTGTGACTTTTGTAGAGGATCTGCTGATGGTCCCTACTTAGTGTCGTTATATTATCTCCTTGATCCTGATTCTGTGTCGCAGTTGATTGTTATATTGCTACTTGGCTTAGCAGTCGTTTTATTGTTCAAGCAAGCTGTTCTGATTGCCAGGGGGTCAAGAAGTTAGTTGATGTAAGGACTTTGTCAGTCACTGGTTTAAGTCTAGTTGAGTTTTGAGACATAGCGAACTACTTAGAGCACTTACACACATACACACACTTACTTGTATATATATATGTATTAGGTTATTAAATGTTAATGTACCAGACGGTACTTATAAGCCATTAAGATGTGATATGTGCCTTCAGCACAATACTACTGTACACGAGAGAAGTGATTATTATTATTATTTTGATTTTGATTAATTTAATTTACTTTGATCTTATACCTCTAGACTGTTATTAATAAATTTATTAAATTTTAATTTCTCTAGTTAGTAGCCTACCAGTTGTAATCCTGAAGCACTAATAATTCTTATTGAATTCTAATGGATAATTGGACCAGGATACTGACTAATTGTTACGAAAACCCAGTAACAGGCTGGATGCTAGAAGGGCAGTCCTTTCTAGTATTCACTGGAGATCTCTATGCTTATTAGAAATCGCGTTTTTTGTAACAGAAGTCAACACCACGATGGTGTGGCTTCGTGTTCTCCATGTTGTTGGAAGTCCACACCACGATGGTGTGGCCTCATGTTCTCCATGTTGTTGGTAATCAACACCACGATGGTGTGGCCTCGTGTTCTCCATGTTGTTGGTAATCAATACCACGATGGTGTGGCCTCGTGTTCTCCATCAAGACTTCAGTGAGTTCCCGATATGCAACTTCATAATGCTATCCCTGAAAATATATGTTATGTTTATTGGCTAGTCCAGGCAAGCACCCACGCACGCGCGCGCACACAACTACACACTAACAAGCGCGTCCAGACCCACACACGCACGCCACACTGAAACACACACACACACACACACACACACACACACACACACACACACACACACACACACACACACACACACACACACCGCAGACACAATATAGTTCAGATAGCCAAAGTCTGCAAACCTCACTCAAGGAAAAAGATCTGGGGGTGAGTATAACACCGAGCATATCTCCTGAGGCGCACATCAATCAGATAACTGCTGCAGCATACGGGCGCCTGGCAAACCTACGGTTAGCGTTCCGATACCTCAGAAAGGATTCGTTCAAGACTCTGTATACCATTTACGTCAGGCCCATACTGGAGTATGTAGCACCAGTTTGGAATCCACACCTAGTCAAGCACGTCAAGAAATTAGAGAAAGTGCAAAGGTTTTGCAACAAGACTAGTCCCAGAGCTACGGGGATTGTCCTACGAGAAAAGGTTGAGGGAAATCGGCCTGACGACACTGGAGGACAGGAGAGTCAGGGGAGACATGATAACGACATATAAAATACTGCGCGGAATAGACAAGGTGGACAAAGACGGATATTCCAGAGAAGGGACACAGACACAAGAGGTCACAATTGGAAGTTGAAGACTCAGATGAATCAAAGGGATGTTAGGAAGTATTTCTTCAGTCATAGAGTAGTCAGGCCGTGGAATAGCCTAGAAAGTGACGTAGTGGAGGCGGGAACCATACATAGTTTTAAGGCGAGGTATGATAGAGCTCATGGGGCAGGGAGAGAGAGGACCTAGTAGCAATCAGCGAAGAGGCGGGGCCAGGAGCTGTGAATCGACCCCTGCAACCACAAATAGGTGAGTACAAATAGGTGAGTACACACACACACGCATACGCACAACTCTGCCTTGCAGGATAATTTCATTTTTTTTTTTTTGTTCAATATATTCCTACTGTCAGTGCAGGGAAAACTTGCGTGTGTTGACGTGTCTGGTGGATATCCCCTCCAAGGTCGTATCCCCGTCACGCATGTTACGCGTGACCGTGGACTTGGGGAGGCTACAAGCACAACCTCTCAGCATATATAGGACAATATATTGACTTGTCTTATATAAAACTGATCTTTTCCATTTTAAAAAAGAGCTTGTTTGTGTGGAACTATTTTTGGTTGAATATTGCTCTCTGGCTGTAATTAATGATAAGCTTACAACATTTTCATTTACAACTCTCGTAAATCATAATCAGTGCAAATACAGATGGATAATTATCAGACATGAGTGGTGAGTTGAAAGATAAAATAGCAGAAGTAACCCCAGAAATCACAGCTATCACTGAGACAAAAGCTGACTTAAATGATATCAGATTCTTAGCAGAATAGTATGTGAGAAGGAAACATAAAGGAAATAGGGAAGGCGGAGAACTGATACGATTATTCGGAAAACATTGGAGTTTTGAAGAGCTGAGTCGGATGAATAATTATGACGCAGACAACTACAGAGTCGACTCAGTCAAGACTGATGGACCCAGAGTAATAATGGTGACATACAACCCGCCACCTACCAGTAGGAAACCGAGACAGGAATATAAAGACAACAAATCAAAGATTAACACTAAATCAGAAGCCGCTAGTAATGCACACAGGGCTGAAGCAAATCTGCTTATCATGGGTGATTTCATCCACAGAGAAATAGATCAGGATGATGGATTACCCTCTGTGCTGAACACAGAGGGAAGGTGCAATAGCAAAGTAAGAGAGAGCCCTTGGTTCAACCAGAGATCTAGAGGGGCAGAAAAAGGCATGAGAATAAGGAAAACTATACAAATCAAAGGACAAACGATAACAGAAATGAGCAGATTAGCCAGAAACAAATATATAAGGGTAAGGAGAGAGGTTGAGCAAGAATCTGAGAATGATGTAGTACCAAAGACCAAGTATGAACCAAAATTGCTTCATAGTCACATCAGAAAAAAAGTTGAGAGTAAAAGGCCAGGTGACATGACTGAAGAAGGAAGGAGGAGAGCTCAATAATAAAATGATAAGAAGGTCCTCGAAAATGTTGAAAATGAGATAGAAAGAGGTATCCTCAGTGGAAACAGGGGCGCTGCCAAAATGCTGAGGAAAAAGATTACACAGACAGGTACTGGACACCTGGAGTTTACCTGGAGAGAGTTCCGGGGGTCAACGCCCCCGCGGCCCGGTCTGTGACCAGGCCTCCTGGTGGATCAGAGCCTGATCAACCAGGCTGTTGCTGCTGGCTGCACGCAAACCAACGTACGAGCCACAGCCCGGCTGGTCAGGAACCGACTTTAGGTGCTTGTCCAGTGCCAGCTTGAAGACTGCCAGGGGTCTGTTGGTAATCCCCCTTATGTATGCTGGGAGGCAGTTGAACAGTCTCGGGCCCCTGACACTTATTGTATGGTCTCTTAACGTGCTAATGACACCCCTGCCTTTCATTGGGGGGATGTTGCATCGTCTGCCAAGTCTTTTGCTTTCGTAGTGAGTGATTTTCGTGTGCAAGTTCGGTACTAGTCCCTCTAGGATTTTCCAGGTGTATATAATCATGTATCTCTCCCGCCTGCGCTCCAGGTTTAGGAACCTCAAGCGCTCCCAGTAATTGAGGTGTTTTATCTCCGTTATGCGCGCCGTGAAGGTTCTCTGTACATTTTCTAGGTCAGAAATTTCACCTGCCTTGAAAGGTGCTGTTAGTGTGCAGCAATATTCCAGCCTAGATAGAACAAGTGACCTGAAGAGTGTCATCATGGGCTTGGCCTCCCTAGTTTTGAAGGTTCTCATTATACATCCTGTCATTTTTCTAGCAGATGCGATTGATACAATGTTATGGTCCTTGAAGTTGAGATCCTCCGACATGATCACTCCCAGGTCTTTGACGTTGGTGTTTCGCTCTATTTTGTGGCCAGAATTTGCTTTGTACTCTGATGAAGATTTAATTTCCTCGTGTTTACCATATCTGAGTAACACCAAACACAAAAGCAGTACAAAAAAAAATCTGATGGTGCTGGACACATCAGAGGCAGTGGGACACGACAAGGACATAACAAGGTGTCACCATGGATTCTGCAAAAGGGAGCAGAGGCACTACCTGAACCACTAACTAATACCTATAACAAGTTAGTGAACATGGTTCAGTTGCCAGAGATCTGGAGGACAGCAAATGTTGTTCCTACATTTAAGAAAGGAGATGAAAATGAAGAAGCGATTGAGGAGGGCTCCATACATAGTTTTAAGATCAGTTACGATAGGGCTCACGAGGCTAGGAGAAAGTGAATCTAGCAAGCAGCCTGTTGAGAGGGCCAGGATCTAAGACCAGACTAATGCAATTGTATAAAAGTGAGTAAATGTATGTGAGAACACACACACACACACACACACCTTATATAAGTGTGCTTGGCATTTCCTGGGCTGGAGGTGTGTGTCAGAGAGGAACACCACGACGGCAGTGAAGAGCATTATGGGAAGAATGGAGTTACGCTTCCCAGCCCATACACTGTCCAGAGCCATCAATTGGAACGATGATAATAACACGGTGTGTGTGTGTGTGTGTGTATGTGTGTGTGTACTCACCTAATTGTGGTTGCAGGGGTCGATTCATAGCTCCTGGTCCCGCCTCTTCATTGACCACTACTGGGTCACTCTCCCTGCACCATGAGCTTCATCATACCTCTGCTTAAAGCTATGTATGGATCCTGCCTCCACTACATCGCTTCCCAAACTACTCCATTCCTGACCACTCTGTGACTGAAGAAATACTTCCTAACATCCCTGTGATTCATCTGTGTCTTCAACTTCCAACTGTGACCCCTTGTTGTTGTGTCCCATCTCTGGAACATCCTGTCTCTGTCCACCTTGTCAATTCCTCTCAGTATTTTATGTCATTATCATTTCCCCCCATCTCTCCTGTCCTCCGGTGTCGTCAGGTCAAATTCCCTCAACTTCTCCAAGTAGGATATGCCATTTAGCTCCGGGACTAGTCTTGTTGCAAACTTTTGCACTTTCTCTAATTTCCGTACGTGCTTGGCTAGGTGTGGGTTCCAAATTGGTGCTGCATACTCCAGTATGGTCGTGATATACACAGTGTACAGGGTCCTGAACGATTCCTTATTGAGATGTCGGAATGCTGTTCTTAGGTTTATTAGGCGCCCATATGCTGCAGCAGTTATTTGGTTAATGTTCGCCTCAGGAGATGTGCCTGGTGTTATATTCACCCCAAGATCCTTTTCCTTGAGTGAGGTTTGTAGTCTCTGGCCCCCTAGACCATACTCCGTCTGTGATCTTCTTTGCCCTTCCCCAAACTTCATGACTTTGCACTTGATGGGGTTGAACTCCAGGAGCCATTTTCTGGACCAGGTCTGCAGCCTGTCCAGACCCTTTGTAGTTCTGTGCGGTCATCATCTGACTGAATTTTTCTCATCAACTTCACATCACCTGCAAGCAGGGACACTTCGGAGTCTATTCCTTCTGTCATGTCGTTCATATATACCAGAAACAGCACCGGTCCTAGGACTTACCCTTGTGGAGCCCCGCTCGTCATATGCGCCCACTCTAACACTTCGTCTCATACCATGACTCTCTGATATCTTCCCGACAAGTATTCCCTGGTCCATTGCAGTGACTTCCCTGTTATACCTGCCTGGTCCTCCAGCTTGCGCACTAATCTTATGTGTGGAACTGTGTCCAAAGCCTTCTTACAGTCCAATAGAAGGCAATCAACCCACCCTTCTCTCTCTTGTGTTACTGCTGTTACCCAGTCATAAAACTCCAGTAGGTTTGTGACACAGGATTTCCCATCCTTGAAATCGTGCTGGATGTCGTTCATGAGCTCATTCCTTTCTACGTGCACTACCACTCTTCTCCTAATAATCTTCTCCATGACTTTGCATACTTTACATTAGGGATGTATCGGATGTGAAAATTTAGATATCCACGGATGCAGATGTGTATGAGGATGTCTTATTTATTTTACGGATGTGGATGCATGTGAAGATATCTACTTATAGATGCGGATCCGAATGCTTACAGATGAGGATGCAGATGCAGATTGCGGTTGTCACATCTTGACATCCTGGCAGATGCGGATGTGGATTTTGCAGGATAGTCATAAAACACCAAATTTTGTTTTTTTACCATAATGCAAATACTTTTATTTCATAATACTTTTATTACATAATCAATTGGCGTTTGCTTAATACTTATAGTTTATGACTGGAAGGTTATTCTTTAAGAATAGCAGTTTCTCTGCATTCTCTGCCAGAAGTCGTTTTCGTTTGTTGTCATGAATCAGGCCAGCACCACTGAACAACTGCTCACTAGGGACGCCCCTCTCACATGAGTGAGAGCGGTAGGATTTGAGTGGGATTTGCACGTGAGTAAATAGAATTGTCAAAGCTTATTGCATGGGTAGTGTTTATTCTGAAGGACCTGCCTAGTATGGGCCAACAGGCCTACTGCAGTGTTCCTCCTTTCTTATGTTCTTATGTTCTCTCTCTGCACAGGTCATTAAGTTATAAGATTTGAAGCTAGCAATGTAAATTTGTAAAGCATAAGAACGAGTATGTGGATAATAAACATGCAAGCTCTGTAATTTAGGTTATAATATCCTCCACATCCTCTTTGTTTGGCGTGGATGTGGATGCAGATGCGGATATTTATTTAATTGTGATTGTGGATGCGGACGCAGATGCAGATGTTTCGTTTAGAAAAAATGGGTATGTGGATGTAAGAAATTGTGCGGATGTTCTGCGGATGCGGATGTGGATACAGATATCCGATACATCCCTACTATACATGTCAGTGACACTGCTCTGTAGTTTAATGCTTCATGTTTGTCTCCTTTCTTAAAAACTGGGACTACATTTTCTATCTTCCATACCTCAGGTAGTCACCTGTTTTGATAGATGTGTTGAATATTGTTGTTAGAGGCATGCATAATGCCTCTGCTTCCTCCCTCAGGACCCATGGAGAGATGTTATCCAGCCCCATCGCCTTTAAGGTGTCTTGCTCACTTAGCAGTCTCTTCAATTCTTTCTCGGTTATATGTATTGTGTCTAACACTTGACGGTGGACCCAACCTCTCTGTCATTCTGGAGTCCCTTCTGTCTCCTCTGTGAACACTTCTTTGAATCTCATGTTGAGTTCCTCACATACTTCTCAGTCGTTTCTTGTGATCCCCCCTCCTCCCTTCCTCAGCCTGATTACCTGGTCCTTGACTGTAGTTTTCTTCCTGATGTGGCTGTACAACAGCTTCAAGTCAGATTTAACTTTCGCTGTTATGTCATTTTCGTATTGTCGTTGGGCCTCCCTTCTTACCTGTGCATATACGTTTCTGGCTCTACGACTGCTCTCCTCATTCTCCTGGGTTCTTTGTCTTCTATGCTTCTTCCATTCTCTAGTGCACTTGGTTTTGGCCTCTCTACATCTTTGAGTGAACCAAGGGCTCATCCTGGCTTTCTCATTATTTCTGTTACCCTTGGGTACTAATCTCTCGTCAGCTTCCTTGCATATAAACCATACCACGGGCGGGGATAGAACCCGCGATCAGAGAGTCTCAAAACTCCAGACCGTCGCGTTAGCCATATTGTTGTCACATATTCCATCATCTCATTTACTGAATTCCCTGCCAGTGCCCTATCTCACTGAAAATGGTCCAAGTCGGACCGAAACGTCATCGTAAGCTCCTCTCTTCTATGTGTGGGTTATTTGTGTATCGCTCCAGTCACGGTGTTGTGCCTTTTTTTGTAATCCATCCCACTGAACCTCGTGCAGGAAATTCTTCATGCCCGTGTAGTCCCCTCTCTTGTAGTTTGGCTTCATTTGTCTTGCTCTTCCTGCTTCCCTCTCCACTTGTAAGTCTACTATGTGTTCGAAGCTCAGAACCACATGGTCACTGGTCCCGAGTGGTCTTTCAGATGTGATATCCTCAATATTTGCACTACTGAAGGTGAATACTAGGTCCAGTCTCGCTGGTTCATCCTCTCTTCTCTCTCTGGTAGTGTCCCTTACTTGTTGGTACATGAGGTTTTCCAGTACCACCTCCATCACCTTAGCCCTCCACGTTTCAGGGCCCCCATGTGGCTCCACATTCTCCCAGTCAATTTCTTTGTAATTGAAGTCACCCACAATTCGCAGCTTTGCCCTGCTCACATGAGCCCTTCCAGCCACTTTAGCCAGTGTGTCAACTCTCATTGCCTTGGCCTCCTGCTGTTTGGTGGTGGGTTATACATCACCGCAATTATCACCTTGGGGCCTCTAGACTGAAGTGGTCTTATTATGTAGTCTCTAGCTTCTCCTCTGTCTCCTCTCTCCAGCTCGTCAAAATTCCATTTTATTTATATTTTTTTTTTTTGATGAGCAGTGCCACTCCTCCACCCCCTCTGCTCTTTCTGTCTTTCTTCAAGATCTGATATCCCATTGGAAACATGGCATCTTTTATCATTCCTGTGACCTTGGTTTCAGTGAGAACTATGATATCCTGTAATGCCTCTTTGATTCTCTTGTGCCACTCCTCCTACATTCCCCTTAGCTCTGGAACTAGCCTTGTTGCAAACCTTTGCATTTTCTCTAATTTCTTGACGTGTTTGACCAGGTGTGGGTTCGAAATTGGTGCTGCATACTCCAGTATAGGCCTGATGTACAGTGTACAGTGTCTTGAACGATTCCTTACTAAGATATCGGAACGCTATTCTCAGGTTTGCCAGGCGCCCATATGCTGCAGCAGTTATCTAGTTGGTGTGTGCTTTCGGATACGTGCTTCGTGTTATGCTCACCCCACTCTCCACCACTCTCCTCCTGATAATCTTCTCCATGACTTTGCTGTTACAAAAAACGCGATTCTAAAAGCTTAGAGATCTCCAGTGAATACTAGAAAGGACTGCCCTTCTAGCATCCAGCCTGTTACTGGGTTTTCGTAACAATTAGTCAGTATCCTGGTCCAATTATCCATTAGAACTCAATAAGAATTATTAGTGCTTCAGGATTACAATTGGTAGGCTACTAACTAGAGAAATTAAAATTTAATAAATTTATTAATAATTAAGTTGTCTAGGCGTATATCAAATTAAATTAAATCAATATCAACAAAATAAGAATAATCACTTCTCTCGTGTACAGTATTATTGTGCTGAAAGCACATATCACATTTATAAGTCTAAAGTACCGTCTGGTTCATTAACATTTAATACTATAAACAAATAAGTGTGTGTATGTGTGTAAGTGCTCTAAGTAGTTCACTATGTCTCACGACTCGACTAGACTTAAACAAGTGACTGACAAAGTCCTCAAATAAACTAACTTCTTGACCGACTGGCAATCAGAATAGTCTGCTTGAATAATAAAAAGAATGCTAAGCCCAATAGCAATATAACAAGCAACTGTGACACAAAATCAGGAACAAGGAGATAATATACCGACGCTAAGTAGGGACCATCAGCAGATCCTCCACAAAAGTCACAAAAGTCACAAAACTCCCATATTACTGAATCTAAGTTCAACATAGAAAATACCCGACTGTGACAGTACACAGATACCAGTACAAATTAGGTCTGAAGCTACAGCTCAGGACCTGAGTTGCTCAGAGTGTCTATGCGACACACAACCTCAGTACAACGTCGAAAATCACTAAGTCTATACAATGTTCTGTGAACAGAGTCTCCAGAACCTACAACAATAATGAGACAGAGACGATCTTCCAACAAGGGCCAATAAGGGAGATTTAAGCACTTGTCAGGAATACGTCCAACCACCAAGCGAGTCTAGACCAGACTCAATACTTCAGGTGAGGTGTGAACACCCCCCCATCTCTATCACGTGATAGCTCCGTGGACAGTTGCTGCCCAGCAACAGAAGCCGGCAGAGTAACGAGCAAAGAGCGATAATTACAGTAGTTAGACAATCAAGACTTGAACTATGAGCACATAATATGTTACATCCTACCTAACAAAAGTAACTAAGTCAAATAATAATATAAAGCAATATATTTACGATTTAGCTATTATCGCAAATATAAGCAATATAAAATTATATGAAAAGATAATATACATTATATACATATACATCATATGCATTGTAACCCATTCAAGGGTTGCAACATTTGCATACTATACACATCAGTGACACAGGTCTGTAGTTTAATGCCTCGTGTCTGTCTGCTTTCTTAAAAACTGGGACTACATTTGCCATTTTCGGTACCTCAGGTAGTTACCCAGTTTCAATGGATGTGATGAAGATTTTTGTTAGTGACACACACAGCATCTCTGCTCCCTCTCTAAGAATCCACGAAGAGATGTTGTCTGGTCCCACCGCCTTTGAGGTATCAAGTTCACGTAGCAGCTTCTTTACCTTCTCCTTGGTTGTGTGTATTACATTCAACATTTGTTGGTGTACCTCCCTATCCTGACTTTCTGGAGTCCTTTCTGTCTCCTCTGTAAATACTTCTTTAAAATTTCACGTTGAGCTCCTCACATACTTCTTGGCCGTTTCTTGTGAACTCCCCTCCTTCCTTCCTCAGACTGATTACCTGGTCATTGACTAGTTTTCTTCCTGATATGGCTATACAACAGCTTTGGGTCAGACTTGACTTTCGATGCTAAGTCCTTTTCTTATTGTCGCTGAGCCTCCCTTCTTATCTGTGCATATTCGTTTATTGTGTGTGTGTGTGTGTGTGTGTGTGTGTGTGTGTGTGTGTGTGTGTGTGTGTGTGTGTACTCACCTATTTGTACTCACCTATTTGTGGTTGCAGGGGTCGAGTCCTAGCTCCTGGCCCTGCCTCTTCACCGGTTGCTACTAGGCCCTCTCTCTCCCCGCTCCATGAGCTTTATCAAACCTCGTCTTAAAACTGTGTATGGTTCCTGCCTCCACTACGTCATTTTCTAGGCTATTCCACTGCCTTACAACTCTATGACTGAAGAAATACTTCCTACTATCTCTCTGACTCATTTGTGTCTTCAACTTCCAATTGTGGCCTCTTGTTTCTGTGTCCCCTCCCTGGAACATCCTGTCTTTGTCCACCTTGTCTATTCCACGCAGTATTTTATATGTCGTTATCATGTCTCCCCCTGACCCTCCTGTCCTCCAGTGTCGTCAGGCCGATTTCCCTTAATCTTTCTTCATAGGACATTCCCCTTAGCTCTGGAACTAACCTTGTCGCAAACCTTTGTACTTTCTCTAGTTTCTTGACGTGCTTTATCAAGTGCGGGTTCCAAACAGGTGCTGCATACTCCAGTATGGGCCTGACATACACGGTGTACAGTGCCTTGAATGATTCCTTACTAAGGTATCGGAATGCTGTTCTCAGGTTTGCCAGGCGCCCATATGCTGCAGCAGTTATCTGATTGATGTGTGCTTCCGGAGACATGCTCGGTGTTATACTCACCCCAAGATCTTTCTCCTTGAGTGAGGTTTGCAGTCTTTGGCCACCTAGCCTATACTCTGTCTGTGGTCTTCTGTGCCCTTCCCCTATCTTCATGACTTTGCATTTGGCAGGATTAAATTCGAGAAGCCATTTGCTGGACCAGGTGTCCAGTCTGTCCAGGTCTCTTTGAAGTCCTGCCTGGTCCTCATCAGATTTAATTCTCCTCATTAACTTCACATCATCTGCAAACAGGGACACTTCTGAGTCTAACCCTTCCGTCATGTCATGTGTGTGTGTGTGTATGTGTGTGTGTGTGTGTATGTGTGTGTGTGTGTGTGTGTGTGTGTGTGTGTGTGTGTGTGTGTGTGTGTGTGTGTACTCACTTAGTTGTACTCACCTAGTTGATGTTGCAGGGGTCGAGTCCTAGCTCCTAGCCCCGCCTCTTCACTGGTCGCTACTGGATCACTCTCCCTGAACCGTGAGCTTTGTCATACCTCTGCTTAAAGCTATGTATGGATCCTGCCTCCACTACATCGCTTCCCAAACTATTCCACTTCCTGACTACTCTGTGGCTGAAGAAATACTTCCTAACATCCCTGTGATTAATGTGTGCCTTCAACTTCCAACTGTGTCCCCTTGTTGCTGTGTCCCATCTCTGGAACATCCTGTCTTTTTTCCACCTTGTCAATGCCTCTCAGTATTTTGTATGTCGTTATCATGTCCCCCCCACCTCTCCTCTCCTCCAGTGTCGTCAGGTCGATTTCCCTTAACCTCTCGTCGTAGGACATACCCCTTAGCTCTGTGTGTGTGCGCGCGTGTGTGTGTGTGTGTGTGTGTGTGTGTGTGTGTGTGTGTGTGTGTGTGTGTGTGTGTGTGTGTGTGTGTGTGTGTGTGTGTATCTGTGTGTGTGTGTGTGTGTGTGTGTGTGTGTTCTTAGTGGGTTTGTGTTTGAGGACCTTCCTAGTATAGGCCAGTAGGCCTGCTGCAGTGCTCTTCATTTCTTGAAGTCCCTCAGACTCGTGGCTTACCACGAGTCTGAGGGACTGATTACCTCATCTGCTGTATTCAATTCTACATTCTTCCCATTATATAATGTCCTTGTATTGTTGACAAAGCCACTGGCTGGCGAAACGTCTACAAATAAAGATACCCAGACGTTCCACATGTGTCTAATTCTTCATCTTGTTGATACTGTGTACCATACATGTACATCAGTAGCCATGTTGTAACTTCTTCCCGTCACAGGTGTACCTGGCCAGGTACGGCTACATGTTACCCAAGACAAGTTCCTCCCGCTCCCAGGCGCTCACCTCAGCGGACACCTACAGTCAGGCGCTTAAAATGTTCCAGGTGAGTGTAACTCTAGGTGCTAAGAGACGTGAGTGAGATGACCCATGCTGGTTTATGAGTGACAAATGAGTTGACCCCTGCTTATTCATGGGAAACTGGTGGGTTGACCCATGCTGATTCATGGATGACAGGTGAGTTGACCCATGCTGATTTATGGGTCACAGGTAGATTGACCCATGCTGATTCATAGGTCATAGGTCATACTCACCTGTGACCCAATCTGATTGGTGGGTCACAGGTGAGTATGGTGAGTCACACGTGAGCTGATTCACACTGACTTATGAATCATGGAGTCACAGGAGTGATATTGATTGCTGATCATTAAATTATAATGCTGCAGAAAAGGGTGTGGATGTTGAGATAGTGGAGACTGGTTAGTGGAACACAGAATGGTAACTGCTTACAGGCGCATCATAGTGTCGCTGGGCGAGAAACATCACAATGTAATAACACTGTATGCTTCCAGACGCATTCATAATGTTAGGTAAAATGACACATGTGCAACTAATGCAACATTTTTATTGTGGCAACGTTTCGCTTTCCAGGAGCTTTATCAAGCCGTTACAAGCAATGCAAGAACACAGAGATTATAGGTATTAGAGTGAGGTACAAGGCATCTCTCTCTAATACCTATAAATACCCTCCGTGTTCTTACATTGTTTGTAACAGCTAGACAAAACTTCTGGAAAGCGAAACGTTGCCACAGTAAAAACGTCGCATTAGCTGCACATGTCCTTTTACCTAACATATTGTCGGTAATTCTACCAACATTATTACAGCATCCATAATCCCCGCCAAGGTGCACCTTCCTTGTAGTGGGACATCTGTGCTGAGCTCAGTACAGAGTACTGAGCTACTCAGGGTCAACTCTCATTGACCGGCTGATCTTCACAGTTAATATCGCTCCCGTCTGCTGGTTCTGGCTTCTTCCGCCTATTATTCTTGACGTAGTTGTACAGAGCCGAAATGAACCACGATAGCCAGCCGTGTTTACCTTCAACCTGCTCCTGCTGCTTGCGACATTAACCCACTACCAGTCTATCTTGTGCAGGACACTGAAGTTGATTTGCCCGGCTCCAAGCTCTCCAGACCTAATACAGTGGAGTTGAAACTAACAGAGGTTATCTGTACTCACCACTTTTTGTACCTCTTGTTTGTGATGGGTCAAGGAAGGAGGAATAGGATAGATGATGAATTTGTATATGGACTATTGGAGTTCTTAATTCATACCGATCAATTTGCTTCCACTCACCTGCATTCCATCTCCCTACCTTAGTATTAGAACATTAGAAAAAAAATCCTTAAAAACTCCATGTATCTAATGACGTTAATTAAAAAAAAAATCCCTTTTCTGGGCAGATGGCGGCAGATCTGGAGCCCACGGGAACACTGACCGAGGAAACACTAAAGATGATGAAGGCGCCTCGCTGCGGCATCAAGGATAACTTTCTCCCCAACTCCAACACCAGTGACCTCACCAGACACAAGCGCTACTCCATCGAAGGTCAGTACTAGATTACCTAGCGTGACCACACACAGTTAACCGGCATGCCCATACACACACACACATGAAGAGGCGAGGCCAGGAGCTGCGACTCAACCCCTACAACCACAAATAGACGAGTGCACACACACTGCATGCCACTTCTACTGGATGAGCGACACTTGGCTAGGCTATAATAAAATACTTGCTGCAAAAACTTGTTGTTTGTGTTAGAAAGTAGAATTACAGAGGAAGGACTTGAGATTAGTTAGAGATCGTCTGCTATAATATACTAATATAACTTATCTAGACAGATTTAGAAATAATAGCATATAGTGTTAATTAACGTATTTCACAGTCATCTTCTCTCAATCTTCTCTATGTACTCCCGTGAGACAAAGTATATAATAAAAAAATTCAGGATTTGGCGTATTTAACCCAGGAATAAATGAATGACTTTTTACAGAAAATTATTTTTATTGGGAAATATAAATTAAATCTCAGAAGTTACAAAAAACTACATAACACACATCATTACATGCTCCGAGAGAGCATATTATGATTATAATGCAGACTCAAGAACATTAAAGCAGAAAGTGTTGTATGACAACATACTTATCCGGTGACTGTCTTAGGCTCCAAGTGGAAGAACAAAGATCTGACCTACAAGATCACCAAGTATCCACCCAAACTGGATAAAACTGCCGTCGACAAGGAGCTCAAGAGAGCCTTGCAGGTACGACATAACCATTATCAGCCAATAGATGTATAATATGTACTAAAGTCATCCAGTTTATGTATTCCCTCTGGTATAAATCTTGTTAATTGATACCGACAAATTGGTTTAGAAAGACACATGAGAAAACACAGAAAAAAGTTTCGGTCATGGGATCTTGACCACTTCTAACATACAGAGGTTAAAAAAAAAAATAGTATACATAGGTGGAGAGAGGTGTGAGCGTCACATGATGTCCTGGAGGTCACCATGTGTCACTCACATCTTACTCTCCGCCTATATATATTGTCTTTTTAACCTCTGTGTTAGAAGTGATCAAGATCCCAGGACTGTAACGTTGTCTAATATGTCCTAGTGTTTTCTCACGTGTCTTTCTAAACTTTTCCCATCCTCTTCATATACTCTTGACCAGCAAACAAATCTCTAGTCTTTATTTTCTCATCTTCCTCTATTTCATGTATTTTTTATTTATCTTTTCGTTGTATTGCCCACCGTTTAAATCGGTGCATTAAACGCCAGTAAAAACGATCCCTTGTTTCTCCTGGAAAAACTATTTCAAAAAATTTAAAAAAATAAAAATAATCGAAACTCATTCGGCAGAGACGCCTTCCCACCCAGGTGCATTATTCCTGTCATTGTAACTTTCAACTCAAATTACTATTCCATAATTCACACCTAACACACAAATTAAAAATTAAATTAAGATGACGCTTCGGTTCGTTCTGAGTCATATACAAGCCGTAGGACCCGGCTGCGGGTCAGGCAACACTTGTCCTGTTTCTTGACAAACTTTACCTAACCTAACTTAAGTCGTATGTCCAGGGCAGAGTTAAACATCGGCATGTTTTCATTTTCAACATATGGATGAGTTGAGTATTTTTATTTTATTTTATTTATTTAATGTCTTTGCAAACAGTACATTGAGATTGTGTATATACAATGGTTTCAGTCACGGTAATGTGATTTTCCTTCACACTCTCATAAGCCCATCTCTACCTAGAGGTGTCTTGCAGCTGTAACACCACAAGTTGATATGTAGACACATGTGCAACAGTTAGGTATCTTTAGTCTGAAAAGTTTCACCTACGCGGTAGGCGTCTTCAGTCAAGTACAGAGGAGGCAGAAGAAGTAGTAGAGATGGAAAGACGATATAATCAGTCCATCGCCCTTTAAGACGTAGTTTTGAGGTGGTCAGTCCCTCAATCTGGAGCAAAACTCTTCATAACTACGGAGAGAAACTCTTCTTCATACTGAGGGACTGATCACCTCAAAACTACATCTTCAAGGGTGATGGTCTGATTACATCGTCTTTCCATCTATACTGCTTCTGCTGCCTCCTCTGTACTCGACTGAAGAAGCCTACTGTGTAGGAGAAACACTTCTGAATAAAGATATTCAACTGTTGCACATGTGTCTTACTTATCAACTTGTCGGTATTGCATACCATTATTATATTCAGCACCACAAGTCCAGGTTACCTTCCCGTGGTCACCCACACCTTGGTTACCTGCAGGCGTGGGCAGACGTGTCAGGGCTGACCTTCCAGCAAAAACACTCAGGCAAGGTAAACATCGATGTTCGCTTCGTGAAACGCGAACATGGTGACGGTGACCCATTAGACGGTCCTGGGGGCGTCTTAGCTCATGCTTTCTTCCCACTGTATGGAGGAGACGCTCACTTCGACTCCGAAGAGAAGTGGACCATTGAATCATACAAAGGTCAAAGAGAAACTTTTCTTGTAATTCAGAACCTGAATATATTCAGTTAAGCTTTTTCATCACTTTGATGCCTGAGTGAGTGTATATTAGGTAAGTAAGAGTCGTCAGTGGAGTTTTTAGTCATCTGACCGAGACCTTCCGCTGGCTTACCGGTCTACTCCTCTAAAAATTAATTTGATCATATATATATATATGTGTTGATCTGATACATTCATTATTTGCTGACTGATTTTTATTAGCATCACTACAGGAAAAACTGTGTAACTATATAACATAAGGACACGAATGGAAATAATTTATATTACTTAACTGATTACTTTATCTGCGTTAAATTCTACATACATTGCTGTACAAAACCAAAGTAAAATTTCGAAATTAGGCTTGATGCCTAATTAAAATCCCACTTTACACTATAGTGAGTCATGGCAGCCGCGACTACTGGCCTCCGTGTTCAACTGTGTGGTCCCAGTAATTGATTTGTTATCATCATTCCTAACATATGATAAGTGTCGTGTTCCTCCAGGCACCAACATACTGCAGGTGGCAGCACATGAGTTCGGTCATGCACTGGGTCTCGCCCACTCTTCAGTCAGTTCCTCACTCATGGCTCCCTTCTACAAGGGATACGATCCTAATTTCTCTCTCACCCCAGACGACATACAAGGTATACAGGTGAGCTGCATGTTGTAACGATAACTAGTCATCTGTTACTTTAAGGTATCAATACAAACATACACACGCAAGTATATGTATTAAAGATAAAAGGTTATTTGCCTATCTACTGTTCCCTAATCTTCTGAATATTTTTGTTTCTATATCTACTAATTTATTTTCCTCTGCATGTCCTTCAAGGAAAATAGCTGAATTATGCACTTATTGGTGATTAATTCCGTCATTTGCAAGGAATCTTTTGCATAATTTCCTACGTTGTTACAGGCGCTCTACGGCAAACCTGCAGGTCAAAATGTCGCTGGATCCGGCGACTCCGGGAGCGGAACTGATCCAGATGGAGACAATGAGGAAGCCGGTGGTCTCTGTGGCAGAGTAAACATTGACACCATTTTCTCTTCAGCAGACGGTGACGTGTACGTCTTTAAGGGTAAGTCTGTGATATCACACCACCGTGTCTTTCCTCTTGTCTTGCAGACGGAGGATCGAGCCTTCCAACTCAACCTTACCACTTAACCTAATTTGTTTGAAAGCAAATACCCTGGGAATTGATAAAAAAAAAATGTGCTATTTCTCGCGTTTTCAAAGACACTTTAAAATTACTTTATGCCTGAGAGGGATATTGATTAAGTAGCGCAGGGTGGGACTCTTAATTAAGAGTGATGTTACACACGCAGGAGACGAGTACTGGCTCCTCACTGACTTCGGTGTGGCGGATGGCTACCCAAAACTAATTGCTGACTACTGGCAAGATCTTCCTGGCGACATAGATGCTGCCTTCACTGGCAGCAACAGAAAAACTTACTTCTTTAAGGTAAAAATGAACACAGCATACATACACACACACACACACACACACACACACACACACACACACACAAACACACAAAAACAAACAAAACACACAAAAACACACACACACAAAACCACACACCCCACATACACACCCACGCCCACACAACACACAACCCCACACACACACACACACACCCAAACACACACACACACACACTCACCACACACCCCACACAAAACTCACAAAAACCCACACCCCACACCACACACGCACACAAAAACAAAAACCCACAAAAACACAAAGACAGTAAAATTGAGAACAAGTATTGGGTACACATGTAAAAGAAAAAGGTAGTGAAAGAGTGACTTTTAACACCCGCTATTTTATAATTTTTAGAAATACTCTCGGTTTTAAAGGGATCTTATATTTTTACGGGTAAAACAGAAGTGGGGTTTGTATTTCTGGACATATAAACAACTACGTGGGCCCCCACACACACAAAGAACGCCGCACACACATACACCCGGGCCGGGGCTGGGGCTCGACCCCTGGGAAAACCCCATCTAGGGGATACAAAACACTGATCCTTGGAACTGACCCCCCCCCACCCACAACCCCCCCCCAGACCCTCACTCCCAAATTTTTTTTTCCCTCCCCCCCCTCCCTCCCCCCACTCGTCACTTTCACTCACTCCTTCTCTCTCTCCCCTCTCTCTCTCTCTCTCTTTTCTCCCCTTCTTCTCTCCTCTCCTCCCTCTCTCTCACTCTCCCTTTTTCTTCCCCTCTTTTCTCTCCCCTCCTCCCTCCCCATCTCTTTTCTCTCCCCTCCTCTCTCTCCCCCCCCCATTCTCTCTCTCTCTCCCTCCTCTCTCTCCATCTCTTCCTCTCTCTCTTTCCTTCTTTCTCCCCCTCCCCCCTCTCTTCCCCCTCTCCCCTCTCCCCCCCCTCCCCCTCCCCTCTCCCCCTTTTCCTCTCCCTCCCTCATCCCTCTCCCCCCTCTCTCCCTCTCCCCTTCCCCTCTCTCCCTCTCCCCTCTCCCCCCCTCTCTCTCCCCCTTCCCCCTCTCTCCCTCTCCCCCCTCATCTCCCCTCTCTCCCTCTCTCCCCCCCCCTCTCTCCGCTCTCTCTCCCTCCCCTCTCCCTCTCCCTCCCTCTCTCTCCCTCTCTCTCCCCTCCTCCCCTCCTCTCTCTCCTCTTTCCCCCCTCTCCTTTTCCTCCCTCTTTTCCCTCTTCTCCCCTCTTCCCCCTCTCCTCTCTCCCCCCTCTTCCCCCCCCTCTCTCCCTCCCCCTCTCTCTCTCTCTCCCCCCCCTCTCTCTCCCCTCTTCCCTCTCTCTCCTCTCTCTCTCCCTCTCCGGCCTCGCCCTCTCTTCTCTCTCTTCCCTCCCTCCCCCTCTCTCTCTCTCTCCCCTCCTCTCTCCTCCCCCCTCCTTTTCTCCCTCTCCCTTTTCCCCTCTCTCCCTTCCCTCCCCCTCTCTCTCCCCTCCCCGCCTCCCCCCTCTCTCCCCCCCTCTCTCCCTTCCCTCTCCCCTCTCTCTCTCGTCTCTCTCCCCCCCTCCTCCTTATCCTCCCCCCTCTCTCTCCCCCCTCCCCGCTCTCTCTCCCCCTCCCCTTCTTTTCTCCCTCTCCTCTCCCTTCCCCACCCCTCTCCCTCTCCTTCCCTCTCCCTCCCCCTTCCCCCCCTCTCCCCCCCCTCTCTCTCCCCCCCTTCCTCCCCTCCTCTCCCTCCCTCTCTCTTCCCCCCCCTCTCCCCTTTTCCCCCCCTCTCCTTTTCTCTCTCCCGCCCTTTTCTTGTAAAACGGTAGGGGGGAGGAAAGGAGAAAAAGAAACAAGTAGGTGTGTGGTGGGAGAGAGAAGAGAGAGGAGAGAGAGAGAGGGGAGAGAGAGAGAGGAGAGAGAGGAGAAGAGGGGGAGGGAGGGAGAGAGAAGAGAGAGAGAGAGAGAGAGAGAGAGAGGGAGAGAGAGAGAGAGAGAGAGAGAGGAGGAGAGAGGGAGCGAGAGAGAGAGGGAGGGAGGGGAAGAGAGAAAGGCGAAAGAGAGAAAGAGAGAAAGGAGGGAGGGAAAAAAAGGGAGAGAGAGAGAGGAGAGAAAAGAGAGAAAGAGCAGAGAAAGAGGGAAAGAGGGGAAAAAGGGAGAGAAAAGGAAAGAAAGAGAGAGAAAGGGAAGAGAGAGAAAAAGAGAAGAAAGAGAGGAAAGGGAGCAAAAAAAAAAGAGAGAAAGAGAGAAAGAGAGAGAGAAAAGAGTGGAAAGCGAGAGAGAGAGGAAGGGGGAGAGGGAGGCGAAGGAGAGAGAGGAGGCGAAAGGGGGAGAGAGGGGAAAGAGGAGAGAGAGGAGGAAAAAGAGAGGAGAGAGAGAAAGAGAGAGAAAAGAGAAAGAGAGAAAGGGCAAAAAGAAGAGGGGGAGAGAAAAGAAAAGAGAGGAAAGAGAGAGGGGAGAGGAAAAAGGAGGGGAGGGGAGAGGAGGGGAGAGAGAGAGAAAGAGAGAGCGAGCGAGAAAGAAAGGGGAAGGAGAAAGAGAAGGGAAAAGAGAGGGGAGAGAGAGAGAGGAGAGAGGAGCGGGGAAAAAGAGAGAAAAAGAGAACAAAAGAGAGCGAGAGAAAAAGAGGCGAAAGAGAGAGAAAAAAGAAGAGCAAAGAGAGAGAGAAGAGGCAAAGCAAGAAGCCCGAGAGACAGCGGGACCCCTAAAGGGAGAGCGCCGAAGCGGCCCCGGAGAGCCTCCCTCCTCTCTCTCCTCTCCTCGCTCTCCCTCTCTCTCTCTCCCTCTCTCTCTCTCCCCCTCTCTCTCCCCTTCTCTCTCCCCCTCCCCCTCTCTCCCCCCTCCTTTCCCCCCTTCTCTCCCCTCACCTCCCTCTCTCCTCCCCTCCTCTCCCCTCCCTCTCTCTCTCCCCTCTCTCTCCCTCTCCCCCCTCGCCCCTCCCCTCTCTCTCCCCTCTCTCTCTCCCCTCTCTCTCCCTCCCCCCCTCTCCCTCTTCCCCTCCCTCCTCTCTCTCCCTCTCTCCCCCTCCCCTCCTCTCCCCCCCTCTCCCCCTCCTCCCCTCTCCCCCCTCTCTATCTCTCCCTCTCCTCTCCCTCTCTCTCCCCTCTCTCTCCCTCTCCTCTCCCTCTCTCCTCCCTCTCCTCTCTCTCTCCCTCTCTCTCTTTCTCTCTTCTCCCTCTCTCTCTCCCTCTCTCCCTCACCCCCATAACCAACTCTCCCCCCCTCTCTCAAAGGGGCCCTCTTCCATCTCTCCTTTCTCTCTCTCTGGGCCTTTTCCCTCGCCCTCCTTTCCCCTCTCTCTTCTCTCCCTCCCCCTCTCCCCCTCTTTCTCCCTCTCTCTACACTTTTCCCCCCCCCTACATTTCTCTCTCCCCCCCTTGGCTTATCCCTCACCCCTATCTCTCTCCTCTCTTCCCTTTTTTTTACCCTTTCTCTCCCCTCTCTCTCCCTCTTTTACCTTTTCTCTCCCCTCTCTCTTACCCTTTCTCTCCCCCCACCCCCCCCTCCTCTACCCTTCTGTCTGCGGAAACCCAAAAAAAAAAAAAAAAAAAAAAAAAAAAAAAAAAAAAATATGGGGGGCCCTTTAGAGGAGGAAAAACCGAGATTGGTGATAACCCAGGGAGGAAAGACGGGGGAGTTAAGCTCCAAAAAAGGGAGAAGAGGGGGAAGGGAAATAGAAAGGCTTGGTAAGAAAATGGGGGACGGATAGGGGGAAAGGGTGCGGGGAAGGGGGAAGAAAACGGGCCTTAAGAAAAAGCTGGGAACGGCTTAAAGAGAAACTGAAACCCCCCCCCCCCCCCCCCCTAAAACGTTTTAGAGAGACAAATGAAAATTCAGACTACATAGGAAATTAAAAATCGGGCGCAGAAAAGGGGGAGGGTAAGCAACAACGGAGACATCCCGTACGGGAAAGGGGCCCTACAACCCCCTTGGGGCCAGGGAAAAAACACGAGCAACTAGATCAAACGCTTTCTGAAGACAATGTGGAAATTCAAGTCAGGCGCAGACAAGGGGGATGGTAAGCAACAACGGAGACATGCCTAACAAAGGACCTATCAGCCCACGTGGGGCCGGGGAAAAGGGGGAGCACACTAAGATCAAGCGACAGGCCCGAAGAAAATAAAGGGGTTGTTATATGCAGGGGTTTTCTAACACCCAAAACTGCGTAGAAAGGGGGACGCGGCCGGGAAAAGACGTACAAAATAGATTTTCAATATGACAGGGACTAAAGGCAAGAACAGTCAAGGAAAGGGAAACAAAATGCCTCAGGGGGAAGCAATGGAGACTCAGTGGGAGGGGGAAAGGGCGAGGTCATTTTTTGTGTACGGGCCCCAAGAACCGGGGGGCCAATTTTGAAGAAATAAAACAGGGGGAGAAAAAAATGATTGAAGGCATCATGAAAACAATGGGGGGAGGGGCAATATGACCCGGGTACAAATTTTTCAGAAAATTTGGGGGTGGTTTGCAGGGAAGGATACGGCCTGAAAGGGTAATTTTTCAGGAAAATCATTCGAATCGGATTCTGCAAAGAAAGCAGCTAGAAAAAAGAGGGGTAAAATATACCTCGACCGCGACAGAACAAAAAAGAAAGGACACCTAAAGAGGGTACAGAGCCAAGGAGGAACGAAAAAGCAATGAAAATGAGCAGGACCCAGACACAGGAGGAAGGGAAAACACACCCCACGAATCTCCCCCAAAAAGCCCCCACCCCCGACTTCCCCAACACAATGAGAAACCTATACCCCCAACCCACCCGTTCCCTCTCCCCCAAACCCCCTACAAAAACCCACCCCAACAGTTTCCCCTTAGGGGCATTCTGACCCCCCCCCCATCAAACATACCCCCCTACACCCAGCCCCATATGGGGGCCCCCCCCAAAGGGCTCTCCCCCCCCCCAAACCCCCAATATACTTCATGACCACAATGTAAAAAAAAACTAAAGGTTTGGTACAAAAACGGGATGGAATAATGAAAAACTGAGGAGTGGAAGAAAAATCGTAAAAAACCCCCCAGACATCATAGCAGTCACAGAAACAAAACTCCTGG